TTCCATATTATTATTATTTGTAACTAATTTTTCAAAAGAAAGCCCACTCAGTAAATAACCTTTGAAGTAAGAAATACTTTTGCATCAGCATTAAAAATTTTATAGTGAATTTATAATCTTGATGAATCTACAATTTTATTAATGTTAATAAAGTAAGAAAATTTAAAAATTCATAGTTTATCTATCATACTGATGAATCTAGAATCTTATTACCATTGCCAAGTTAATAAACTAAGACAAATTGAAATATTTTTTTATTCTTGACAAAAGATTAAAATTATGAAGTGACGTAACAAGCTTACGTTTACAAGACAAAATTTTTAAAACACTGTACGTAAGTAGAAAAATCTAAACAGATGATAAAATAAACTAATTTGGAGTATGGATAGCAAATATTTAAAAATTTTACAAATACTAACAAATCTTTAGCAAGCCATCGGCCACAAACAATTCACCTTTAACAAATTAAACCAATTAGCAAACTTACCAGTATCCTTTTCATTTGAAGTTGGTCGTTCTCCCGATCCATTTTGTGAATGCGTTTCTTGATAATTCTGTACAAAAAGAAAGGTTATAAATTACTAACATTCTATCTGCTATGAAAAATATTCAAACAACCGTGTTTTCTATAACCATTACAATTTTGAATAAACACAAGTATTCATCAGAAAAAAAAATACCGAGCAATGACTTAAACATTGTTTCATTATCTGAAACCACATCAGAATGTTGATTAACCTAAATAAAATAGCATATTCTACTTTTTTGGAGCTTTAACTATTTACTAGTTACATTTTTATTTTTCACATAACTTCAGTGTAGGTGCTATAATTTGATTATGGGGAAAATTTAAAAATCCTCTGTCCTTATGCCTTCACCCAATTGAATAATTTCAAAATGTCCTACTATTAATAACATCTATTACATAATATGTTTTGGTACTGGTATTTAAGAATATAATCTTTAACTTGCTAATCAAATCTTTAATCCTTCTTTTATGTTTAGGGTATATTTGATCCAATGCTGGTTTGCATAACATTTTGATGCAATTAAATATATTTTTGAGTTTATTATAATGAAAGTTTATATAAATTTTAATATTTAAGATAAAAACTTTATGCAAAGAAAAAAATATTTATCACTTTCAGACTGTTTTAACTTCTTTGAAATTTTATCAGAATATGCTCAAAACATAACGGATGTACCTACATTCTGAACGTAATAGGAGGGTTAAGAACAATTCTTTTTGGGATTATCTGCTTTATGTTCTAAATCAGGGTTGTAAATCTGATTTCTCATTACTGAGGAAGTAAAAATTCCTCATACTTAAAATCCAACTGCTTTTAGTGCTTTAATAGTTATGTACGTAAAGCTTAACAGACATAGCTATCTGAGTAAGTAGAAGGACTGTGGCCACAGTTTAATGAAAGGAAATCTTTGGGGAACATAATACCCACCATACCATTGTAGATTTAAGGAATTTATGTATTGGAGTCATTAACAATATTTGTTAAGTTACCGCATGTTGGACTTCGAAAGCAGGTCAAATGTGACACACTTCCCGAGAGATATACATTTCTTTTCACTGATATCTACGTAGATATAAACAAACCTGTATTTGATTATATCTATTTGTTTCTAGTGGTTGCAAATTCCACATTTTTTACAGTATTTTGCAGCTAAATGTATGTAAAAATCAGTTTACTGAAGCATTTACAGAGAACAGGTTTTCAAATGCTTATTTGATCAGTTTTGCACGAGTTTTTCATTAATGAAGTAAAAACATGGTATTTTTATATGAATTACACTTTATGCACCTGATGATGACCCCGCGAGTGATCAAATGTTGTTACAAAGTTGAAAAAATAAAACAATCCACTCAAAAGCTGTATCTCTGGACATTTATTTAAAGTGTATAGTGGATTTCCTCTCCTCACAACTAATTAAGGTTTTATTTTGCATTGGAAAAGTTTTGTTTGTGTATTTATTATCCATATGTAAACTTTAAGAATGATACATGCTCACCTCTTGTTTTTTCAGTAATTCAGGGTCAAACTTTTCTAGCAACTCTTTGGCAACTCTGTATGTTTCATTATTCATCACTTCATCTAGAATTGATTTCTTCTTTTTCTTTAGTCCAGTCAGCTGTTCTTCATTTCTCTTAATAGCTCGAGTGAAGTACCAATGGAGTAGTCTCTTCAGAATCAAGATTCTAGAAATGTTATTAAATTTAATTAACCCTTCCTCATTATAACTGCTGGTTAAAACAAGATAAGGCTGGTTACAAAAGAATGTGCTAACTATACGCAACAACTTGATTATTTTGTCTCAGTCATAGGATATATCACAGTGAAAAGTTATTTTCTAAAGTTTAGTGGGAAGTGAAGTACCAATGGAGTAATCTCTTCAGAATCAAGATTCTAGAAAAGTTATTAAATTTAATTAACCCTTCCTCATTATAACTGCTGGTTAAAACAAGATAAAGCTGGTTACAAAAGAATGTGCTAACTATACGCAACAACTTGATTATTTTGTCTCAGTCATAGGATATATCACAGTGAAAAGTTATTTTCTAAAGTTTAGTGGGAAACATAAATAATGAATAAATTCTGATATCAATTGGTTTAGTTTATAGTCTTCAATGCAGGGAAAAAAGCACAGGTGCTCTATTACTCTTGATACATATATATATAT